GAATTAGTTTGTGTGATGATATTGATAGCATTGATGCTGGAAGCAACTACCATCAAGGGAAAGCCCCAAAAACTTTGATATTCTTAGCTTGCTAATTAAGTCTGGAAGCAGCTACCATCAAGGGAACAAGCTAAAGGCCAAAAACTTTCATATTGGTAGCTTGCCAATTAAAACTGGAAGCAGGTACCATCGAAGGAACAAGCTAAAGCCCGAAAACTTTGATATTGGTAGCTTGCCAATTAAGACCCGAAGCAACTAGCATTAGTTTGCGCAGTTCTATTCTTAGCTTGCCAATTGTGTTTGGATTAATTATGGCTAAAGATTATCTTACCAATTTTTGGTCATGACCAAAAAAATTATCCTTGTTTGGATGGTTGCCAAAAAAATTGGCATGCCCATGCCCCCTTTTGGCCATCTAGCTCATTTTTCTTGTCATTGGCCAAATCATGAGCAAGTAAAACCTTCAATAAAAGCTAGCCAATTTTTTAGTGCGGTGAACTTCAGTTCAAACAAAGCACACCCTAAACCCGCAAAAACTTCAGCACAGGCCACCCACGCACTACGGCACGCAACCTCATATCAGTTATGGGACTGGATGTGCTTAATCAAAGCAAAGCGAAGGATCTGTCATAAAAATTTGCAAGTCTGGGTCTACCCTCCTTTTCAGAAAGAAAAAGAAGAAATTTGCAAGTCTTATCCAAACATATTACGTGCTTAATCAAAGCAAAGCAAAGGATCCATCATAGAAGCTTGCAAGTCTTATCAGAACATATTACCTTCCTTCAACTGGAGGATCCATAAAATATATTCATTCATTACCTAATTTTGCTTGTATATATATATATTCGCACCATGGATTGTCATTGCTGCAGCCACAGCTGCAATTTCCATCCCATTGTTATTCCCATATGCTCCCCCTCTCTGAGCTAGCCATAATAATCTACTATTACTAGCCGTCAAACCGTCGGCAACCGTGCAGACTTAGTGCATCTAAGATGTCGTCACGCTCTACCTCCGCCATCATCGCCAGGGCGGTGAGCGGGCACCACTTGCTCAAGATCGACGGGCACTCGCAAACCAATAGTAGCGACATCAAATCCTGCACTTTCCATGTTGGAGGCCACGCCTGGCGCATCAAGTACTACCCCAACGGCCAAGGTTCAGATAATGCCAATTGCATATCTGTCTTCATTCAGCTTGCCAGTGTTAGCATGGACTTGCCGTTCAAGCCTGACAAGGGCATCTCAGCTCAATGTGTGCTCGGTTTACTGTGCCATCATATACCTTCACCTTCGATAGAAGTTTCACAACCCCTCAAGGAGAGTGGGGCTGGTACAAATTCATCACAAGGTCGGAATTAGAGAACTCAGGTTGCCTCAAGGACGACTGCTTCACTCTCAGGTGCGACATCACTGTCACAGAGCTGCGCGCCAGGGAAACAGAGGATCGTGATTTCACCGATCTCCTGTGGAAGGAGGGGGCAGATGTGGCCTTCCATGTGGGCGGCGAGACAATCGTCGCCCATCGATGGGTGCTGGCTGCCCGGTCTCCAATCTTGAAGGCAGCAGCAGAAGCAGAGCTCCTTGGCATGTCGGAAAGGGAGAAGAAGAAGAAGACGCCCA